ATAATTTTTCTGAATTTCAAAAAGTGCAAGGCATTTGGCATTGATGTTTTAAAAAACTCCCAAGTTTGGTATTCTGCAATCAATAACCCTCTGCACAACTTGGAAATGCTAGGAAAAATTAACTCTCCCAACCTGCTTGGCTTATTAAAAAAACACATCAGGCACAAAATGAACACAATAGTTAGGCTTTCATGTTTTCATGAACGCACAAGTCAGGCTTTCATGTTTTCATGAATGCACAAGTCAGGCTTTCATGTTTTTATGAACACACAAGTCAGGCTTTCATGTTATCATGAACGCACAAGTCAGGCTTTCATGTTTTCATGCTGAACTCACAAGTCAGGCTTTCATGTTTTCATGCTGAATGCACAAGTCAGGCTTTCATGTTTTCATAAAAGCACAAGTCAGGCTTTCATGTTCTCATGAATGCCCCAGTCTGGTGTTTTGAATTTCAAAAAGTACAAGACATTCGGCTTGATGTTTTTAAATTTTTTATGAACACACAAGTCAGGCTTTCATGTTATCATGAACGCACAAGTCAGGCTTTCATGTTTTCATGCTGAATGCACAAGTCAGGCTTCCATGTTTTCATGCTGAATGCACAAGTCAGGCTTTCATGTTTTCATAAATGCACAAGTCAGGCTTTCATGTTCTCATGAATGCCCCAGTCTGGTGTTTTGAATTTCAAAAAGTACAAGACATTTTGCTTGATGTTTTTAAAAACTCCCAAGTTTGGTATTCTGCAATCAACAACCCTCTGCACAACTTGGAAATGCTAGGAAAAATGAACTCTCCCAATCAGCTTGACTTGAAAAAAAAACACATCAGGCGCAAAATGAACACAATAGTCAGGCTTTCATGTTCTCATGAACGCCCAAGTCTGGTTGTTAAAACATGGAAGCCTGTCTTGTGCGTTCATGAAAACATGAAAGCCTGACTTGTGCATTCATGAAAACATGAAAGCCTGACTATTGTGTTCATTTTGTGCCTGATGTGTTTTTTTTAATAAGCCAAGCTGGTTTTGGAGAGTTCATTTTTCCTAGCATTTCCAAGTTGTGCAGAGGGTTGTTGATTGCAGGATACCAAACTTGGGAGTTTTTAAAAACATCAATGCCAAATGTCTTGCACTTTTTGAAATTCAAAAAACCAGACTTGGGCATTCATAACAACATGAAAACCTGACTTGGACATTCCATTATTGATAATAATTACTGTTATAATTTGTACAGAACATGGACAGCAACCCCAACAAAGTAAGCACTTGATTTGGAACAGCATTGGAGTGTGATGATCAAGAATGTTTCCAGAAGCAGGATGAATGGTTCCTGGAGCAAGATGTTGCTGCAACTCTTGATCAAAATGAATTCAAAGATGATAACAATGGCTGAAGCAAGAAATGGAATATTTGCCAATTCCTCACCAGAGTGTGTCAGTAAATTCTGAAGCAGATAGGGACTCATCTTCAATGATGATCTTTTTCTTGGTAATGTATGTATGCATGTGCAGTATGTTTATAATTTTCTTTCATTTTGCCTTCACTTCAGGTTTTCCTGTCTTTCTTGGAAGTTATCAGTTTTCATTGTTGTTAATTATCAACAAGAATTAAGATGAAATAAGAATGCATAATTCAAAAAGTATTTGCATGTTATTCAATTCAAGCTCAAAACAGTTGTACAACTGTCTAAAATTGCAGGAAAAAAACTTCATGTTCACACACAAGCAACCACCCTCCCCCCCCCCCCCAACACTATTCATCTTTCATTTTGCCTTCACTTCAGGTTTTCCTGTCTTTCTCAGAAGTCATCAGTGTTCATTGTTGTTAATTCTCAACAAGAATTAAGATGAAATAAGAATGCATAATTCAAAAAAGTATTTGCATGTTATTCAATTCAAGCTCAGAACAGTTGTACAACTGTAAAAAATTGCAGGAAAAAATTTCATGTTCACACACAAACAACCACCCCCACCCCCAACACTATTCATCAACAACAGTTTTTGACACACTTTCCAATGATTCCCTTGTTGCAAATATGCTCCCATTCTCCAGTTTTGAACGCTGCGGGTAAACACAAATATGCCATGATTGAAAGGATGGATACTCCTCATCCACAAAGTGTCCTTTGCAGTCCATGCATTGTCCGAAGATTGTCTTCAAGTGTGTTTCAAAGCAAGTCTGTAACTTAAAGATTGTCTTCAAGTGTGTTTCAAAGCAAGTCTGTAACTGTAGAAAGAAATGATTTTATTGCTGAAAACAGGAAGCTTTCCTTTCTGTACAGTAGATACCCATTTCTTGAAGTGTTTGTTTGGAACACATTCATTGAGACTGAAGGTTTTATCATCCTTCATTCATTCGAAGTTCCCTCATGCAGAAGACTTTCTGAAATGCGCCAGCAGTCCGCAACCCCAAACCACAGCAGCGGAACTCCATAATTCAATTAGCAAGAGTCGCCAAATTTTTAAAGGAGACACTTCGAAACTGCCCTCTCTTCAATGCAAGGTTTTTTATTAATTTTTTATTGACAATTCACTAACATTTGTATTCTTGTCAAACCCAACCCCTCGCAATTCTGACAGGCAATCAACAATCATACCATCCCAAGTTTTTATCTCAGTCTAAAAAAAGTAAAATAAAAAATGCGTTATTGGACTTGGAGTAAGTGCGTATCGAATAAATTTTCCCCACATTGATCGCGGGTAAAATTTACCTTGGGAGCTTTCTTGTCTCCTTCGGTTCAAATGCACAACTAAGAAAACTCCAACTAGATGGTAAGAAAACTCCAACTAGGTGTAAATCTCCGGAAGAGCTCCGACAGCCCCCAGCATCTGACCCACAAGTTTGTCTGCTCCGCACATGGTGGGGTCAATCTTGTAACTAAGAAAACTCCAACTAGATGGTAAGAAAACTCCAACTAGGTGTAAATCTCCGGAAGAGCTCCGACAGCCCCCAGCATCTGACCCACAAGTTTGTCTGCTCCGCACATGGTGGGGTCAATCTTGGTTCCTATACACCCATCAGGCCACCGCGTAGGCCAGCTCGTTCTGCTGAGCCAGCAAGGAAACGACGCAAGAACAAATCGGATGACACAGCAGTCGAACTTTGTAGTCTTTTGAAACTATCCCAGGTCAGACTTCGATCTCCATTCCGACTTTGAGAACGCCTGTCAGGATGCTTCCAAAAGCTGCGCCGCCTTTCAGGCCATCAAACTCGCTGCCAGGCTCTTGTTTGGATCGAAGGAACAAGTAACTGCAACAAATGATTCGAGCCATTCACTGTTAAAAAGTTAATGTGGTTTTTTCATGCCCTCGGAAGACAAAGGCATGCAGAATTAGACACGATTTTTTTTCAACACTGCACGCATTTTTCGTTGTTTAAATTAACCCCACAAAAAAATCCAGTGCGTATTAAATTTGACAGAGCTTTCAATGAAGATGGAGCGCGTTCCTCCTTCTGACAAAGAAGTCGCTGAAATAAAATGGGAGACGAACATTTAATGACACAATCTTCCGCAATTTCAATTTCTCCAGGAAAATAGTCAAACCCCTATTTTACATTTCAAATTTTCGAGGTCAGAAGGATATCTGAGGACCGCATGGACTTGCAATTTTGAGGAGTTTTAATGTTATGACGTACCATCAGTCCTAACTAGCACAAAAATTCCACCAGGAACATTCTCGGCATTCAAACCTATGGTAGAAATCCTTTCACGTACAGAAGAGGAACCTAATTCAAGATTAACTTGAATTGTGACTGCCAGTGAATGTAATAATGCTGACTTCCAGAGCGAATATACGGACAAAATACTCACCTTCTTTCCATCACGGAATTTCATGGAGCCCTCCAAGACAACGCAAGAATCGCTCGCCATTCCGGATTCTCGGCGATCACAGAAATTCCTAACTAGCACAAAAATTCCACCAGGAACATTCTCGGCATTCAAACCTATGGTAGAAATCCTTTCACGTACAGAAGAGGAACCTAATTCAAGATTAACTTGAATTGTGACTGCCAGTGAATGTAACTACACTTACAATTTAAAATTAAAATTTCCCATGGTCAGGAAAACTTCACAACGTTAATTAAATGGATTGGAGATAAATACACAGCACGTTTTTGTCACTTGAAATGAATGAAACCTTCGCTGCTTGAAAATTGCCGGTTATACACATACGTTTCTGGCTTACAAATTTGATAACTTTGTTCAATTTTGCGTAATCAATCAAAATCCACGCTTTACTGGACTTAATGAAGGCTATTAAGCCTTTTTTAAATCAAAATAAATTGAATATGCCTTAGAATGAAATTTCAAATGCAGAACTTCAACTCACCAATGAGCCTCGGCAAGGACACAAAATCACGCATTCGGGATCAAGATTTTCTTGCAGATGTATTCACAGAGAACTTTGAAGCTGTATTTGAGTAGAGCGGAAATGGGAATGACGGGAGCCACGGTTCCTTCGATAAACTTCATGATTTGCTCGAACTGATGATCGTTTCCTTCCTCAAACCACCTTAACTCGAATTTTTTGGCTGGTCCCCGGAAATTTGTCTCAGAGAAATTCCAGTGTTTAAAAAACAAATTTAAAAACTCACTGATACATAATGCAGGAAATTAAGGACACAAAATCACGCATTCGGGATCAAGATTTTCTTGCAGATGTATTCACAGAGAACTTTGAAGCTGTATTTGAGTAGAGCGGAAATGGGAATGACGGGAGCCACGGTTCCTTCAATAAACTTCATGATTTGCTGGAACTGCTCCTTGCCTTGACTTCTTTTCACCAGATCGATTTTGTTCTGCAGAATTACAATGTGCTTCAATTTCATGATTTCAATTGCAGCCAAATTCACACTCGTCTGCAGCAGTTGCGGACAAGATTCATTTCCAGCTGTAGTAATCTGTAGTAGTCAAACATTGAGTAAAAACGACAATTGAAATAGACTAATAGTAGCTGAATAGACTAATAGTAGATGAATACAAGGTGTTACATTGAAACCAAACCAGGGTCTACAGGAAGGTTTTCTCAATAATTTTCAATTCTGTATAGCTAGCTACAAACCAATGCTTTCAATCCTTCTGGAATAAAGTTGACAAAAGATACGTGCCTCTGCTGGACTCGGAATCGTCCTGTACACGGGAAGCTGTGTAGCACTGAAAGGATTCGTCTTAGCTGGAGCCTCCTGAAGTATATCACACAGGACGCGGACAAGACGACTAATCGTCACACTTTTAAATCTTCAAAATGTACCCTTGATCACAGTTACATATGATCAATAACGAATTTTTGTCTCTAATTTAAAAAAATTTTAATTCAACTTTCAGATTTTGCTCCTGAATTTCCAATTTTTTGTCTCTGATTTTTATACGATAACTTCCTGAGGCTCATCATTTGTAGATAGTGGACAGGAAATGTGTCTGCAGGGGAATTACACACTTGAAAATACAGGAAGTTATAAATGGGTTACATTAGCAGACTGGCAGGAAGCCCATAAACTAAATGTATCCTGATCCATCCAATATCAAACGTCTCAGGAGTCTGGAAGCACAGTGCCAAGCTAGCCACAAAAATCTGTGAAAAGCTGTTCTTATTCGAATGCTCTTCTGTGTCGAGTTCTTTTTCATTTTTAAAATGCATTGTCAAATTTGACCATTTCATAAAAGACTAGGTATATTTACAAATATTTCAGTGAGAAAAAAATGGCTACAGTACTGTACTTCAAGCAATAAAATGCTTTTACAGATTATAAAGTGAATATCTGTGAAAAATCTATGAATCTCAATATAACTAATTTTTCATTACAACGAATTTTTCCCCAGTCCCTGGGAGTTTGTTGTAATGAGATTCTACTGTAGTCTATTAAAATTTATGATGAACCAATTTTTTTCAAATCCATAATTTTTAAAATGTTTTTCAAATGTGATCCATTCTATAGTCTGCTGTTCAAGAATTTTTGAATCCTAAACTTTAAAAATGTCATTACAAACTAGTCAGTTTTGTATCACACACAACATTTTGTAACAATATCTTATTGTATATGCAATATTTTCCTCCCAAAATTTTTTCACAGAATAAAAAGCCAGAAAAAGGGTGTGCAAGTACCTGAGAATAAAATTTCCATGAAAATTTTTGGAAAACCCCATGCACCTCCTATGCAAGCAGTTGAAAAAAACCCAAGAGGAAATGATTGGTGCCAGCAGTATCATTCTTCAGGAGGGGATTAAGGGTTGAAGGGATAGCAATTCTGGATTACCTTCAAGCAGGACAATTTTCCTGGAATAATCCCAAAAATTGATTCTGAGATGCAACAGAGAGAAAAGGATGTGGCAAACTGTCATCTATAATGGGGGAAGTTGCCATTAATTGCCAGGACAATTTAACCATGGTGCCAGTAGACAATAAAAAAGAGGAAGCACAAAAAAATAATGTTGAAAATGTATCCAAACAGGATAGGCATAAGATGTCACAGCATCTAGACCACTAAATATCAGTTCACTGCCAGGCTTTGGCATGGAAAGGAGCAAGGATTTACCTTTGTGTTCATTCAATGCTAGTGAAAAGTTATTAGAAGTGGTTTCATAGGCTGAAAAAATATGAAACAGTGCAGTACATCAAAAGTTTGGTATTCATGAGTTGTGTATTTGAGATTGCAGGCAGCCAAAAGAAAAACTTATGTCATACAAAAAATGGTGTACATTTTGTGGAATACAGGCCAAATTTCAAGATAAAGAAATGGCAATTGCTGATTAAAATAAAGACAGGCATCAACATGGAATTGCTGTGTGGAGTGAAATTATTCAAAAAAGCCCTTGACTTTGCAATGGGACTAGAAATGCCCTTGCCTCAGTTCAAAGCCAGCACCAAGTGGATTATGTATTTCATGAAGAGTTTTTCAAAATTAATTCATTACATAGTTTTTTGTCAATTAATTTTCCACCTCAACTTTGAAAATTCCTTAACAAATTAAGTCAGGACTATATAAAAAACTTTTTCAGTATTCCTAATAATGTTGTTGTGAAAACATATTATTTGATACATTTTATTTGAGGCATTTTCAATAAACAAACGCTTAACATATCTTTTGATGGAAGCCCTTGCCTTGCGTTGAACATGCCAACAAACGCAAAAAACTGGCGTTGATCACACCAATGAATGCACAAAACTGGCATTCATAATTAAAAAAAAAATGCTCCCATTGGGCATTCATCTGTTTGACTTGGGCAGTTTAAAAAGAATGACCAACTTGGACTTGTGCAAATACAAAATTGCTGAGTCAGACCAGAAATGAAGGGTTTGACAAGAACTGTCTGATTTCTTATTGCTTGGAAGTACAAATGGGGTGGAATTGCTTGATCAAAATTTCTTCTTTTTTCATAGGGATCTTTAAAATACAGAAGTTTTTTTGGGGTAATCAGCATGTCGACTGTGGATGATGCACTAGGAACAGAGCCAAATTATGATGAAATTGCAGCTTTCCTCATCACAAAGAAGTACCCAGTGTGGTGCATTGGACAACCAGGAAAGAAAGCCAATCTTCGAAAAATGTCCTCAAAATTTGCAATACTGAATGGCGAGCTTCATTTCAGATACTCAGAAAATTACAAGAACAAAAACAAGGATCATCTAGCACCAGAATACTTGAAGGTGATCAAGTCAAAGGCAAGGAGATTAGAAGTCCTCAAGGCATTGCATGAGGGAGCTGGCACTAGTATTGAAGCAAAGGCTTTAGGAGGCCACATTGGACGAGATAAGCTGATGGCAAAAATCTTGGACACATATTGGTGGCCAGGCATGAACAATCATGTAAGATGAGTTATAGTTAGAGTTACAGGAAGCATAAAATTTTTTCTACTGTGGATAATCAAATTCTGGGTATTTTATCATTTGCAGGTCCGTGATTTTGTGAAAACATGCCCTGTCTGCCAATGTGGAGACACAAAGTTTGACAAGGCAGCCCCAAAGTTACACTCCATCCCCATCAAACCAGAGGTCTGGCTACAAGTTGGGGTTGACCTTTGCTCTTTACCTCCAAGCAAGGATGGCTATGTGGCTATAGTAGTAGTGATTGACTACTTCTCCAAATGGATGGAGTCAAAGCCAGTAAAGAGCAAAGGTGCAGATGAAGTTGCAAACTTTTTGTACTCCCTTATCTGCAGACATGGGTGCCCAAAGATCCAAATCAATGACCAGGGCAGAGAATTCTGCAACAAGGTCAGTGATGCACTCCATCATCTGACAGGGACAAGACAGCGGATAACAAGTGCTTACCATCCACAAGCCAATGGGCTTGTGGAGAGAGGTAACAGGACCATTCAAGGGAGCCTCTTGAAGGTACTTGAACAAGAAGCAGCTGAGTGGCCAAGAGCCCTTGATGGTGTTCTTTTTGCCTTCCGTACGGCAAAACACAAGTCTACCGGGTATTCCCCCTTTGAAATGATGTATGGAAGGAAGCCCAACATGCCGATTCATGCCCAGCATGAGGCTGATGCTCTTCAGGATGAAGAATGCAATGCAGATCTTGAGGTGGACGTAGAAGCAGAAGAGATGGATGTGGAGGAAACAGAATTTTCGCAACAACTTCAATTCATCAAGTCCACCCAAGCAGCCGTCCATGCTGCGGCATCTAAGAACATACGTCAAGCACAAAAACAACAGAAGATGGAATATAATGCAAGGCACAAGCTGAAGACTTTCAATGTTGGCGACAAAGTGCTTGTGTACAATTTGAGAAGAGCCTCCAGGAAAGGAGGAAGGCAGGCACAGCCTTGGAGTGGTCCGTACATTGTGAAGTCCAAGTTGGCCAGAGGTGTTTATGTTCTCCAGACAGTCAATGGCACTGAATTGAAGGCAAGGCAAAATGGGAAGAATATGAAGCTTTTCCATGAGAGGAAAGATGAGGTTTGTTTAGAACTTGTGTGTGTACAAAAAGTGCAGATGTGTAATGAATGTGTGGTCTTGATATTTTAACACAGGGATGCAGGAACCAACAATCATCACCGATTCCTTCAGCTCTTCCAATGGACACCATCAAGGATCATGATGATGGACAGCCACAGTGTTCAGTGATGCAGTTTGATCACACCTATGCAATGACAATGGATGACGAAACAGACAGGATGCATACACATTCTTCTGACAGCACCAGCAGCAGTGATATCCACGGAAGTAGTGATGAGGTTTGTGTTAAACTTGAGTGTGTTTCCTGTTCTAAATAAGTAGAAGCATAGATATATAATAAGTGTCTGTTCTTGCTCTTTACACATAGGAATGCAGCAATTGGCAGTCACCAATTGCATCACCTATTCCAACTGACAACACCTGCAAGAGTGATCAAGGCAGACTGGACAGAACGGAATCTTCTTTTGCTCCGGATGACCTCCAGTTTCTTCCCACAACTCCTGCGTGGCGTCGTCTGAAATGTGATTATCTTGACCTGCCTGTACCATCATTAAACAGTGAAAGGCGCGTGAAAGGACCTCTGGGGAAGCCGCTTCTTGTGAACAAAATCAAAGGTGATGGTAATTGTCTGTTCCGGGCAATAAGCTATGAGGTGACACTCACAGAGGACCACCACAAGTTTTTTCGGTTGGCTGCCTGTGAGATTATGAGAGATGACAATATGCAAAAGCAGTTTGAATACCTACCACAAACCCAAGATGAGGCTGAAAAATACCTTGAGAAGAGCGAGATGGAGAAGGATGGAGTATGGGGAACCGAAATGGAGTTGATTGCTCTAGCAACATTACTCAAAACACCAATAGTAGTATATTGCTCATCCACTTCCCCCTGGTTGTACTTTGCATCTGACCCAGCAGGCAATCAACAGCA